ATTTTAGGACCGCTTGCATTTTTGAACACAGCTAAGCCATCATCTCTATACAACCCCAAATCATGCTTGCTATAAAAGTGGGAGATTTAGAAAAGAAGAAAAATTCCAACTAGTTCACAAACCTCCGCACCATCAAATGCACCCATGGTTACATCAAACAAACCACTCGATTTCTTTATCCAAACTTGGTCGTTGGTAAATAATAATGAGTTTTGCGCGTGAAGAATTAAAGATTTATGGTCAGTAGCGATGGTAACATATTGCTCTGCAAAGTAAATGGAGTCGATAAGGAGTTTTTCGTTAATTGAAGAATAAAAGTCAACAGTGTCGAAAATAAGGAATTTATAAATGTGTTTATCGTTTATATTTTTATCTTTAATATTCTTGTGTGTTGTTCCACTGATTTAGTTTCAAAAGATTTCATTGGTGGTAATATCAAATAAAATATGCTTACTAACTCTTCCGATTTCGTTCTTAGCAGGATTTATAAAGCGAACCGTAAGATTATTTAAAAAGTTTTGATCGATATATTAAGCAAACTGTTATAAATAAATAAACTATTATAAATTTTATATTAACAATATAATGGTTGGTGGGAATATTTTATATAATTATTTCATAAAATTAGCATAATGTAAAAAAATAAATTTTTTATCTGAAGAATATAAATTTAAAATAGTAATGAAATTAAAAAGTGAAATTGAAAGCAAAATTAAAAATATTTATTTTGATTTTTGCTCAATATATTAAGCAAAAAGTCAATGAAGTATCCCAGACAGCACACGACTCCGGGCCAACTCTAACCCGGAGTCGTGTCGTAAATTTAGGCTAAATTTAATGCTAAATATTCTTAACAGACTTGAATCATAAGGATAAGTAAAAAAATTTGATTTTGTCAAAAAATTACTAGTACATAATATAGGTAGTCTCATCAAAAATACAAATACTTTTCACTATACAAATTTTGTTGTCTAACACAAATAATGCTATGCATTGCTTTAATGATTTGGTGAGTAAACATCATTATATGATATATATATATATATATATATATATATATATATATATATATATATATATATATATATATATATATACATATATATATATATATATATATATATATATATATATATATATATATATATATATATATATATACATATATTTATATATATATATATATATATATATATATATATATATATATATATATATATATATATATATATATATATATATATATATATATATATATATATATATATATATATATACCGGTTAATATATATATATACCGGTTTTTACATCCATTTAAAACAATCATGACAACCATTTAAAACAACCATGAAATTCATTTAAAACACCGCGACAATCAATTAAAACAATGTGATTTTCAATTAAAACAATCGTGACTTTCAATTAAAACATTTAACGCATGCGCAATCTTAACATTCTATATTATTTAAAAAAAAAGGTTTTATTTATATACTTATTTATTTAAATTTATTTTTTATTAATATCATATTAATTTATTTTAATTTAATGCAATTTATTATAGTATAGTGTATATCATATACATATGTATATGTATAGACTATACACATACATATGTATATGATATACACTATACACTACACACACACACACGCACACACACACACACATATATATATATACATATGTATGTGTATAGTGTATATATATACTATACGCATACATATGTATATATATATATATATATATATATATATATATATATATATATATATATATATATATATATATATATATATATATATATGTATATATATATATATATATATATATATATATATATATATATATATATATATCATATAATGATGTTTACTCACCAAATCATTAAAGCAGTGCATAGCATTATTTGTGTTAGACAACAAAATTTGTGTAGTGAAAAGTATTTGTATTTTTGATGAGACTACCTATATTATGTACTAGTAGTTTTTTGACAAAATCAAATTTTTTTACTTATCCTTATGATTCAAGTCTGTTAAGAATATTTAGCATTAAATTTAGCCTAAATTTAATGCTAAATATTTTTAACAGACTTGAATCATAAGGATAAGTAAAAAAATTTGATTTTGTCAAAAAATTCTTCTCCTAAATTTTTTAAAAAAAGAAACTTCTCCTAAATTTTAGGAGAAGTTGAACATGTTGCAATTTTAAATGACAATTTTTTCAACTGTGTCTTGCTGCACTTGTTATAATTAGTTGAAGTTTGTACATAGTGTATTTTTGTTCTTAATAACAAACATGCTTATTATTTATTTTATTATTTATTATGTTGTGTCTCAAGTGTTTTCTTTTAATAATAAAAATATAATATTTATTTTGTTTGTAATACATTACATAGGTAATTTAAAAAAATGACTTTAAATGTAACTGTAAAAAAGTTGAAATGTTTCGAATTTGTTAGAATAGAAGATAGAACTGTTTTATTAAGTTACTTTAACTAAAAAATAAATGATTTAGTTTATTAATTAATAAAAAAATGAATACAGTCGTTATACTGGAGAAAAAACAGCAGGGTCCAAAAAAAACTTTACTTAAAAAATATAGTCCAAAATGAAAGTTATTGCTCGTGACCTGGAAATATAACTTGGAAACTGGAAAACCAACTATAATTGCAAAAAAATAAGGTTACTTTTCCAAAATACCAAGTTTACACTTTTTTTCAAAAATTAAAAGGTTATATAGAAATTGAAGTTTAATATTGAGCTTTCTCAAAATGAAAAAATGTGACCCTTCCGTTTCTTCCCGTGGAGTCTTCATATGTATTTGCTATGCCCGTTGCAACCGGGGTGGCAGCAGGGGCATTTAACCCCCCAATAATTTTTCAAATAAATAATTTTGAAGAAATTGACAGAAAAAAAATCTTTAAAAAAAAAAAAAAAAGGGCGAAAGAAATTACACCGAAAAAAAAAATAATAAACACCGTAGCGGAAATAACTTATTTGAAAAAAAATGTCCACCAGAAACGGTTTGCATTTTCGAAACCTCGAAACAAATTCCTATAATAATCTAAATTTTAAAAATATTCTGTCGACGTCTTTTTAAAAAAGGGGGTTAAACGGACAGATCATTAATTTTTGGTATTCAAGATAGGTAACTTCCAGAAATGCTACAAACTTTAAATTTTCTAATAATAATACTGGTGTCTAATAAGAATGTTTAATAAAAAAATGGGTCTGCAAACAATATTAACCAGAAAATATATGTAGCATTTCTGGAAGCTACTTATCTTGAACACCAAAAATTCATGACCTGGTTTCGAAAATGCAAACCGTTTCTGGTGGACTTTTTTTAACAAATAAATTTTTTCCACTACGGTGTGTATAGTAAATCTAAATGCATAACAAATATTTCACATTAAAAAAATGAAGGAGTTGTCAGGGCCGACGACACGGGTTTTAAAGTTGAGGGGCTTAATTGTCAGTTTCTGAAAAAAAATTTGATTTTTCTAACAAAAAAAAAATAGACCCTTTGACCCTTCCCCCCTGGTGTCGTCGGCCCTATACTAATTACTTCATTTGGATATAACAATACGGATGATTAAACTTTAACCGTATTTTCTTTGAGCTCCTACCTGTTTGTTATAAATCCCCTTTTTTTATGCAAATTTTTCTTTTTAAATATATATATTTTAATATGAACAACAAATGTTAAGCGTTACTGTTAAATAAAGGAATTATAATAGGGCCGACAACACCGGGGGGGGGGGCAAGGGGTCTATTCTTTTTTTTAGAAAAATTGAAATTTTTTTCAAACTTTCATTAAAGTCACTACAATCTTTTCATAGAGACCCTATGTAGATAATGTAGATATGTGGGTAGCCCTATGTGGCTTCACTAGTTAAAAAAAATTGTTAAAAATACAACGTTCAAAAAAGAACTTTTTTTCACATTTTTGTGAAATAAAAGTTCTCTTATAATAAACCAATAGAGAACTTTTTGTTCCCATTTTTCGTAAATTTATTATTAAATTTTTTGCAATCAAGCTGTTATTATATTTATATATAAAACTTAAGTGTTGGTGAATATTGATTTTATGTGTACTCATCATTTGCATGTCTTTGATTAATGGTTTTGCATGTTAATTTTTTTCTTATATATAAGTCTTAATGCATGTTTTTGTAGAAATTTATTATTTTTAAGTTTTGTTGGTTGAATACTGGCTCATATAATTGGAATTACATTGGAATAGTACAAGGGCGAATACAGACCATCTGGTAAGGAGGAGGGGAGTTTAATACAAATTGGTGAATCCAGATCATCTAGTTAGGAGGACCATTTTGATTCGGTGGATCCAGACCATTTCGTAGGAGGCCATTTTCAAGTTTAATGATTTAAAGCAAGCAAGCCCGCAAATTATAAAACATTTTTTATTTAATCATACCACCTAAATTTATTCATATTACTTTTAAATAGCCCCCTAAGTTATTGTCTAATCAAACTACACGATGTGTTAAATATATAAATTAAAAAAAAAAAGTTATAATTTATTATTTTTTATTATTTTAATCCTCTTTCTCCTATGGATTCTCCCATGGAATAGGTAATGTAACAATGTATTAGGCTAAAATATACTAGTTTCAGATTTTCCTATGTTACATAAGGACGGATTCGGCACATCAAACCGATTGTTTTACGAATATAATTTGTGGGGAAGCCATGATAAATTTTCATCAATAATTCCAAAAAATTTTATTGACTTATTTTTTGATTGACTCATTGACACTTGAACAAAAAAAAAATCTAAGTTTTAAGCTATACGGTTCGAATTTCACCAAGTCGTTCTTTATATCCCTATTAAATTGAATTTTTTATGTTAAGTTTTCTGCAGGACAGTGTGTCCATTCTATTAACGTTTTTTGATTTGCAACAAGAAAAATTTATTGGAAGATTGACGCTTTCTTGTACTTGTCACTCAATTTTTAATTTTTCCATGTCAAATATCCTGCTAATTTAAGCAATTAAAGGTAGCGTTATAATTTGTTGTCGTTATTTTATTTAAAACGCTTTCATTATTCAGGAAGAATGGAAGTCTTGTGCGCTACCATTGAAAAAATGGGTGCACTCGAAAAATTCAAGTATGAATTTCTATATATATATATATATATGTTTTGATGTATGCTTAGCTCCATTTTTATTGTAGTAAGAAATAATTTAAAAAATTTTTATTATTTTTTCTTTCTCCTTTGACATCTAATAAATATTATTCTTTTATATATTTACATATAGTTCTTATGTAAGTATGTAAGAGAAATAATTTGTATCTTTATTGAAGATGAATAAATAAATTTTTATGAACTTATGTATCATATTTTGAAGATATAAATTCAAAACGTTGTGTAAACAAGAAATTGGGTTGTTTAAAACTAAATAAAAAAGCATTTTTTAGTTATAATGTATATTTTGTTTTTAGTGAAAATGGGTACCAAAATTCCACCCTGTGTTTCAGAAATCACATACCTTAATAATGTGATACAGCGATCAAATTCTATTTACAGTCAGATCTCATCACAAGACTGCTCACATCAGAATTTCCTTACTCATCAACTTGCTAATATATCTGAAAGTATGGTCCCAGTTACAGTAATGAATGCTGTCCAATCAAATCAAGTTCATTATGCATGTGCTGGAATAAATGAACAGCTAGTAGCTGTAACAGATGTTTGTAATTTAGTAAATGAGAAAATAGCTATATATCGACATCCACTTTTTCCTTTATTAAGAATATTGTTTGAAAAGTGTGAGCTTGCTACAAATTCAATTGAAAACATTGATTCAGTAACAATATTTGATTATCAAATAAAAACTTTTATTACACAAATGGCAAAAGAAAACAAGCCATTTTTTACAGATGATGCAGAGGTAGATGGATTGGTAAGATTATATTTCTACCATATTTTTTTATTGATTATACTGTAGAATTTTTGAACAACAAGAAACTCCTAAAAAAAAAAAAAAACAAAAAAAAACAATTGACTTTTATATTAAATTATGCCCTGGTTTAATTATTATATACTTATTTAAACATAAGTTTTTATTAATTATTTTATTAATATACCTTTTTTTTAATGTAAAGAATGCCTGCCAAAATCCTAGACGCTCAGACAATTTGTGTATACTCCACTGCTACTATGGCAATATCAGTTAATTTACCATTGTATTGATGAACTTAACCTATGAAATTTCAAAAAATTAAAACAATTAACAAACATAACTATAAATAAAGAATATTAGTAGTTAAAAAACATAAAACTATTTTGAAATAAAACATAAAATCTTGTCAGTTCTGCCTTGGGGTAATAAGACTTTCACTAAAATAAAGTTATATATATATTAGAGTGTGTCATAAAACAAGATTTTTTAAAAACTAGATCAGAGCTATAATATAGTAGAAAATAAAACTACATGGTTCACAACTTAAAATTTTATGCTGTTGCAATCATCAGGTGAAATACAAATATAGTTTGTTTGTTAAAAATTTTATACCATTAAAACTATACAGAAAAAACCTATATGGAAAAAACTATTTTTATATCATGCCCAGCAAAGCATGCATTGGTTTATCAGAGAGCGTGTAGAAAAAGAGGTATGCAAACCATGAGCAATCATTTACTAATAGAAAACTTTAAGTACAACCATTCTCTCAAAATATAAATGGGAAACTAGGAAAAACTGAAAGAAACACCAGAATTATCTTGGTTTATCCTAAGAAAAGTACCTGCTTACAACAATAATACAAAAAAATGTTTACTTTGTTTTATGAAAAATTAGTAATTTTATTTTATACAAATGCTGAAGAGCTACTTAATAAAAAAGCAGAGTTAGTTTCCAAATATATATGCTTAATAGAAAATAAATTTCTTTTAAGCAACCACAAACCTGAAAATTAGATAAAGGCGGTTATTACAATAGTTTTTTCCATATAGGTTTTTTCTAAAAACTTTTTAACAACACCTTTTGTCAATAGCAATTGATATCATCAGGTTTAATAAATTAGTTACAATTTCTGTATAAAAAATTTTTTTTTTAAGCTACATTAACAATTTTTATAGTTTTTACAATAGTTATCATAGTTACATTTTTATAAAATATAAAATTACCGAAAAATTTATATAAAAGGTGTGAAGTAATTAATAATAAAAAACAAAATAGGAGATAAAAAGTAAGATAATTGATAAATTATATTGTTATAGTAACAGTGTGTGATTTTAATTGAGTATTAAATAAATTTTTTCCATTTCAATATGGATACCTTCCTAAAATTTGAGGTCATACTTAGAGAAAGCTCTATAAATAAGTGATGCACTTACTTTTTTAGAATATATAAATAAACAACATCCTAACCTCAAATTTACTAAAGAGGAACAGGTTGATCGCAAATTTGATTTTCTTGATACAATGATTAACTCTGTAAATAATAAATTTGATACTTCAACATTTTATAAAAAAATTTATACAGGTTTACTGACTAATTTTACCAGCTTTAATAATATTAATTATAAACTAGGATTTAGTAAAACTTTGCTTGATAGGACTTTCAAAATCAACAGCAACTGGGTAAGTTTTCATTTAGATATTGAAAAAATTAATCAAACTATACCAAAAAATCATATTCCACTTTGCAAATTTTGTAACTAATAGTGCACTTCTAGCTGTTGAGTGGAAATAATTCTCTGATCTGATCCAGTCACAATTTACTTTTGCTCTTGAAATTTCTTCTGATCTGATTCATTTGTATCTCTGGGATCTTCTAAGATGATTTATTTGTATCTCTAGGATAACAAAATTTACCAATATTCTTCCACCACTGTCTTTTTTTTGACTTCTCTGCATTCAATAAATGTATGTTTTTTACACTCAATAGGGCAATACTAAAAGCACTTTATATACCGCTAAAGTTTTAGGTCAGCAAAAAATCGCCAACCTCATTTCTATGTTTTATGGAACTATTTGTGTGATTTTTTTTTTTGCTGACCCGATGCCGACCTTTGAGGTCAGCAACAGTTTGAGGTCAGCAATTTATTTTACCTTATTTTTCCTAATACCAAAGGCTGCCACTTTATTTCTTATGATGAACCAATTGCTTACAAACTGTATAAACAATAGAGTTTGCTCAAAAACTTTTTCTACTCCACATGGCCACTCCGGTATTTTGTACTTGCTGATTTCTGACTTTACATTGTATAAATTTTCTCTTAATTATGTTATCATAAGGCCTTTCATTTCCTTTCTACTTTTTCAGCACTAATTTCAAAGTATTAATTCATAACCTGTCTCTATAATTAAGCATAAATCATTTGCAATTGGTATGTATGGTAAACCATACATACCAATTTCATTGAGAAATTTAAGAGTTTTGTCTAAAGACAATAGTAAAAAGCAAAGAACTGAGCAAACGGTCAAAAAGTTTCTCAAAAATCGTTTTAAAGTTTCTGGTCCTGTACAACTTTGCAAATTTTTTGCACAATATTTTTGAAAATTTGCATTCCAGAAATATAATTTGGTTTTTACAATAAGCTGCATTACATGCTTTAATACTTAAGCATTGTTTCTAGAAATTCTAAGGTAACTTTATGTCAAAGAAGGATAGTTGTTCACTCTCCCCCTCAGATTTTCTTCAAATTTAAAACAGTGCACTATGGTTTCTGAGACCCAAATTTTTGGCATAAATTAATAACTTCAATTTAAACACAAAATAACTAATGATTTTTATTTTTTAAGATAGGTAAAATGTTCTAAATGTGTTATAACTAAATTTATATATATATATATGTATATATATATATATATATATATATATATATATATATATATATATATATATATATATATATATATATATATATATAATTATATATAATATATATATATAAATATATATATATATTTATATATATATATTATATATATATATATATATATATATATATATATATGTATATATATATATATATATATATATATATATATATATATATATATATATATATATATAATATATATACATATACATATACATATATACATATATATAATATATTTAGTTATATATTTACATATTTAATACATTTAGTACATTTAATAAAATTATATTCAATATATAGATATATTTAATATAAAGTTATATTTTATTCAAATCTATTATAAAGAATTATTATTACATGAATTCATATTCAAAAAATCAGTTAAATTTCAACTATATTTTACTATCCAATTAAATGAAATCTAAATAGTTAACAGAAATTAAGTCCTCATCAGCAAGTTCATCATCGTAGTCATCATCGCTTTCACTACCTTCTTTGTTTTCGCTATGATGATGTTACGAGGTATTGGATGGCATTTCTGTTAATAAACTAAATACCTCAGAACGAGTAGGGAACTTACGATGATTCTGAATTCTTCTGTGTAAATTAATACTGGAAATGATAGCATCTAAGACTATGAAAAAGATCTTCATTGACACTAGCAAGTGATGGACATAAGAATAATTTTAAATTATATATATATATATATATATATATATTATATATATATATATATATATATATATATATATATGTATATATATATATATATATATATATATATATATATATATATATATATATATATATATATATATATATATATATATATATATATATATATATATATATATATATATATATATATATATATATATATATATATATATATATATATATATATATATATAAGAATGACATAATTTTAAATTATTAATAAATATAGTTGAAATTTAACTAATTTTTTTAAATCAAGCCTTCATTCACATTAGTTATTTTGGAAAATGTTTCAACATTTTCAAATGCTCGGCGAGCAGTATAGCTCCTACTTTTGGTTTATTCACGTAAAAGTGTAAATTTTCAAAGAACCATTGTTGTATTTGTTTTTCTTTTGTTTTACATAAAACAATTTTTTTATTATTAGTACCAAGAATTTGCCATTTACACAAATTATATCTGTATGATATGTGGATGATGAATTCAAAAAACCGTATCTAAACATATAGTAGACTAATGCCATACTGTAAAGTATTAGATTTATGCTTCAATTATTCTGTCGTATTGAATTCCTGCAGTTTAACAAAATCATTTGAAGTAGCTCCACATATCGAACAAGCTTGATTCAAATTTGTTCCAGTTAATATATTTAAAATATTTATATCAACTTACGTCATAAATAAAGTAATGATTCAAATTTTTTTTATTAATAGACAAAAATAAATGTTATTAGCTCTAACTTATCTGTCTGTCCGTCAATATCGTGTTTTTTATCTACCTGTCTGTCAATATAGTATATTTTACTTAAAACCACGCAGATTGAGGAGTGTAATTGCTCCATAAGATCATATTATCTTCTGAGTTCAAATCATTACAGATATACCATTTGTTCTTCATGTCAATTTAAGTTTTTAAATCTCTTTGTAATCAGGATACAAATTATAATTTTAATAACAGCTCCTTGTCTAATGTTTTGATATTGTTGTTAAATTAGAATCCAAACTTAATTCTAATGCTTCTTCCACTGTATAACAAACTGTTTCTGTTTTTGGTAAAAATATAGTTGTTTTTTTATTTTTGTTGACCTTTGATAGATAGACTTTTATTTGATTCTTTTAGAGCCAATACTAAATCACGTGTCTTTTGCTGACGCACCAAACCTGCTGCTTGCAATATAGGCGACGTTTCGTGTGAACTATTTTGAGATAACTCTGATGCTTCCAATCTTTTGGCCCAATCTGATTTTTTGTTGTATGATAAACTTGGTTGTCCAGAAGATCTTGATGGAATAGACTGACTAAAAGATGTTGATGGAGTTGCATCATCAGTAAATCTAAAATCTCTTTTTAACTAATATGAATTTTTACTTTTAAATTAGCCCTTTGTTACTTGACTATCTAATCATTTTCCTTCAAAAGAATTGCACAAACGACAAATTTTCTTTTGAATATTATTGCTTATAACTACTTTTTTATCATTTCCAATTATTTTAATGACAATCTCAAAAACATCTGAGCTTTTCTCATTTTAATCGTTCTATTCCGGCCATACATTAAATAAATCCTTGTATTTGAAACGGTACATCACTGCAAACAACCAGATATATTTTTATTTGGGGCAACTAGGGGCAAATTCTAAAAATTGGAATATGTTTCAGAACGTTAACAAAATTCAATTGTGTATAAATATTTTTGGAGAAATACGGAGATTTTTTTAAAATTAAATTTAAAGTTTTGAAAAAAGAAACGGAAGAAGAAATACTTCTATGCGTTTATTGTTTATATTTAAATAACATAATAATGCAATATTTTAATTTAATTAAATATTTAAAAAAAGTGTATACCTGTATAAAAATAATTCACTTTACAGAAATTAAAAATATTAATTATTTAAAAAGTTATGTATTATTAAATTAACATTTCAATTTACACTAACTCACTGTAAACTAAACTGGGTTAAAAATATTCTAAGCTGGAGTGCATATAACAAACAAAGCTATTAATTTAGAAATAGACTGCGTTAATTATAACTTTGAAGGGTTTACTTTAAGGTACAACATAAAAAAATCTTTTTAAATACTTTAAAAAAATGGGTTTCTGCCAAAAAATCGAGTCTCAGAAACCATAGTGCATATAAAACATAAAAAAATGAAAAAATTTAAGCTCTTAACTCAAAATGGTCTAAAAGTTATGATGCTATTTATGATGTCATTATGAGTGCCTAATTGAAAAATGTAAAGAAGAATAAAATCCATTTAAAAAATATTGAGGGTCAGTTTTTGATTTTAAAATATTAAATTAAATTTTTGTCCTGTTACCAAAGGTTACTGCTTTCACAAACTCTTAAAGTTGCTCAACTCAATCTCCTTGTGTGTTTTACTTATTTGTCAGTTAATGTATTTAAACAGTAAAAAAAAAAAACATTCAGAATGTTTTTATTTTTATTAAAAAGATAAAAAATATTCCAGTCTATAAAGTTGCATTTTATGGTTTTTAAAAAAAGAAAATTTATTAGTTTCCTCAATTAAATTTAATGGTTTTTACATAAATTTTACTGGATTTTCTCTTTTAAAGACAAGGAGTCACTTTTATTGACAAAGGCTCGTTAAGAATCATTTTTTAACACAATATATATAAACAAAGCATAAAATAGGCATCTATAAGGGCTTTAGTATATACATTGATTGATGCTTTAGGTTTAGGCAGGTTAAAACGAGGAATGAAAAACATTTATTAGAGTAAGAAAAAAAATTATTTGTTTTAAAAAAAAAAAATTTTCCCTGAAAATACAAGTAATATATTGTCAGTTATGTCAATTTTTTAAAGATGTTGAAGTCGTTACAAGTTTTGCGTATTCATCTGTTGGAACTTGAAAAAGTTAACGAATTGTGCAAAGACTTTTGTTTAAGATATATATCATGTCTTCGAGAAAAATTAAGTAGTGATAATATAATGCGAACTCTTGACATTTCTAGTACCCCTCCATCTAGTCCTTCTATGTCTATTGTGCCTGAATCTAATCAAGTAGAACAATTTTTAAACACATCAGAAAATTCAACTGTAATAGATTCAAAAGGACTTCTCAACTTGTCACTAAATACTTCTAACGTGTTTTTTTCTTCACATTCGCCTAATCAGGAATTATCAGATTCACGAGATGTAATAAGCAATGATTCATCTACAATTGCCTCTCCAGATATTTTGTGCATTATAAAAAAGTCTAGATGTGGAAAAAGAGGAGTCTTACCAAAGCATGCAACAAGTATTCTCAAGAGTTGGCTTTTTCAACATTTACTTGTAAGTATAAGTATTTATTTTTTCTCATTCAACAATGTTATAAAAGGTTGATGATAGGAAGTAAAAATTACTAAATCAGGGACCCAAATCATTTTGGTATTGTTGGAGCAGTGTGGGCATCAAATATTTTTTTAAAAAAATATTTTTCAACTTTTTTTTTAAGTATTTTAAATAGTTTCTATTTCAATTGCAGTACTTGATTTTTTAGAAAGTAATACATATTTTAGGCGTTTAGTACTAATTTTCTGTTTATTTTAGTTTAAAAATTAATTACATATTGCTGTTATTATTTTAAAGGTAATAAGGTAAGGGCGTCTTAATTAATCAAAACTCTTGGAGTGGGTGGGGAAAAATTCCAAAATTAATATATAATGTATATATATATATTTTTGTTCAATAAATTTAATATAATTGCTTTGCTTTTAGTTGTTAATATAATTATTTTTATTATTATTGAATTTGACAGTTGTTTACTTAATATTAGTTCTCATTACTAGAGATCGACCAAAATTCGGTTCGGTTCCGGTTCCGGTCATAAATTTGGCCGGAATCGAAATTCCTGTTTCGGTTCCAGCTAGATTTGAGATTTCGGTTTCGGCCGGAATTTCGGTTCTAAATGCTACCGAAAATAGATATTATAAAACTTTATTTTAAATAAATTATTTAGCATTGTAGCGTAAATATATTTTGATTAAAAAAATTTAAATAATTTTTTTGCTAGTTATTTCAACTTCTTATATTATTTTTTGCGTCCGATCGCGTTGTTACTTTTATCTGGTTTTTAATTATCATGTTTAAAATATCATGATCTACAAATTTAATGACGCTACAATGTTATCTACATTGTAGAGTCATATGTTTATGGACTTGATTATTTATTTATTTTAATTATCGCATGGAATTGGTAACGGTAAAATCTTTACGAACTTGGTGATTTTTTTTTAAATTATCACGTGGAATTTGTTTGAAATAAATTAAAAAAGTTTTTATTGGTTTCATTCATTTTTTGAAAGCAAGTTGTTTTAATGTTTTCTCGTCGTTAAAACATTAAAACAATAATGTTTTCTTGTCGTTATAACTTTTTTAATGTTTTCTCGTTTAAATTGTTAATTGTCTTTTTAACGAACTTTTTAATGTATTGAACTTTTTAATGTAACGTAAGAAATTTTTCTTAAATATATATATATATATATATATATATATATATATATATATATATATATATATATATATATATATATATGTATTGTTAAGTTAACAACAATATTAATACAAATTAATATAATTAATAATTAATATAATTAACAATGAACTTGTTAATTATATTTTAAATCCTTGTTCTTGACTCAAACTAGCAACATTAAAAAATTCATCTGATTAAGTTCTTCGATTTCATTCTAATAAAATGAGCTCAAACCGAAAAACAAGTTTAGTGTGGAAGTACTTCATAATTGAAGCAAACAATCCAAGAATGGTTCAGTGCAAAATCTGCAACAGCAAAGTTTCAAGAGGATCTGACGACCCAAAAAAACAAGGATTAAGTGGACTCACGTCACACCTGAAGAATCATCATCCTGACATCAAACTTACGCCCGAAAAAGCAGAAAATCCAAAGGCAAATGAAGAAGCTGACTTAAATTCCAACAAGAGAAAGGCAGTTACAATCTTCAACATGCGATCAAAAAAACAAAGATCCGACATGTTACAATCTACAATTCCAAACTGGGTTCAAGCTTCTTCAAAAATTGACTCTAATTCTGAAAAAGGCCAAAAATTTCACAAGTCAATTTTTGAAATGATGATTCTTGACCTCCAACCATGGTCTATTGTCAATGATGCTGGATTTTTGAGGCACCATGCTCTTATTGCTCCAAATTACGAAATTGCTAGCGAAAAATACTACAGAAGTTTACTGGATCCGACTTACGAAAAAATTAAAGTTGCTCTCAAGGAAAAGCTGGTTCAATCAGAAGCTGAAAATGTGTCTGTCTGCCTTGATGCATGGTCATCATTTCATCATGGCTATCTGGGAATGACTGTTCACTTTATTTCCAAAGACTGGAACTGTGTCAAATTCTGCATCTCTTGTTCTCCATTTGATGAAAGTCATATTGCAAAAAATATTTTCAAAGAGATCAAAGCAGCAGCAGAGGAATGGGAAATTTCTTCAAAAATTGGAGTTTGCTTAAGAGACAACGCAGCAAATGTAAAAGCAGCCTTCAATGAGCCAAGCTGTAATTATAAGTCAGCTGGATGCCTTAACCACTCCCTTCAACTTGTGATAAAAAAAGACCTATTATCAGATCCTACCATCAACGAACTGATTGAAAAGAGTCGAAAACTTTGTTCTTACGCATCCCATTCTATTGGTTTCTACACTGAACTTTACAGACAGCAAGAAATCCAAATGGATAGAAAAGACAGACTTGGCTTAAAAAACGATGTTGCCACAAGATGGAACTCTACCTATTACATGCTTGAGCGAATTTTACAACTGAAACAAGCCATTGCTGCAACCTTACTCAAATTTCCTTCTGTGGGAATTGAATTTTCCGTCCAAGATTGGAGCCTCTATGAAAAAGTGGTGAGGATTTTAAGTGTTTTTGAGGAGGCAACAAAAATGTTGTCAGGTAGTGATTCTTGTATCAGTTCCTGCATTCCAATTGTGACAACAATAATTAAAGCTTTGGAAACAACATCCGGCGACGTCAGTGTTCAGAAATTGAAAATAGCTATGAAAAATGCAATGGAAAAACGTTTTTCAGCAATTGAAAAAACAGAACATTATTCAGTTGCTACTTTACTTAATCCAAAATACAAATGGTATTTTTTCCGATCTCAAGCTGCTTTGCAAAATGCCAAACACATTGTCATGTCCCAAATGGAGAATTTTGAACCTCTTGAAGATGAATTGGCTCCTGTTACTCAAATTCCATCTGGTGACAATGAAAAAAACACGGCATTCTCGCACATAATGTCAAAAATTATTGCACAGTCTCAAACAGGACCAAATGAGCATTCATCTTCCAAAATGACGAGGGAAGTGTTGAAGGATTTTTTGGATTGTCCAATGGCTTCTCATTGCCTAGAATTTTGGAAAAACTATGAAAAAAATGCGACTAGCAAAATCAAGTTAGCATTGACTAAGGTGGCAAAAAAGTACCTCACACCACCCCCAACATCCACAGATGTTGAAAGATTGTTTTTTACGGCTGGAGATATTCTATCTAACGAAAGAAACAGACTCCTTCCAGAAAATTTGGAAAAACTCCTTTTTTGTCGAGAAAATCTTGCAGTTGTTGGATTCTGCTATTAATCATATTTTATTAATTTAACTTTGTGTTTTAATTGGAATAAACTTGCAAACAAAAACTATTATTTATTTTCGGTTCCGGTTTCGGTTTCGGCTCTGGTTAGGGTTTACTTTCGGTTCCGGTTCCGGTTAGGAATATTTAAAATCTATTTTCGGTTCGGTTCCGGTTCCGGCAAAATTTCAGTGCCGGTCGATCACTACTCATTACTATTTGTAAATATCCTTGTTGTAAGAACTTTTATTCAGAAATATATTTGATTTGATTAAATTAATAAAAAATTTAAATTATAATAAAAACATACATTTGAAAAAAAAAACTTACATTTGAATATGCAAAGTCTGTGCTTAAAATGAAATTTTATCCCGTTGTAACAAAAAAATGTCACCATTCATTGAGGGATATGTTAAAGTATATCTATCCTCAAAATACTTTTCACAACAAGATGCAATATCATAGCATTTGAGCTATTTTAGCAATGAGTGGACCTGCAGAATGTTTATTGTATTTGATGAAATCACATTTAAAGTTTGAATGGTTTGGTTTATTTTGGTTTTAATGTAGGAATAGTGTTTTATATTTAAAGTCCACAAAAAGTTTCCACTTTATTCTAGTTTATTAAGTGTTGATGACTAGTTTTGTTAGTTGTTTTTGTTTCAGCAGTTACCTATTGTTATGGTTTTGTTGTACCAGAAAAAAATAATAGGTTTTCATACTTTCTATGAAAAATGAAAAACAAAACACAGTTTATGGATGTTAAGAAACTTTTATACCTGAACTTTATTTTTAAAAAGTTTTTTTTTAAATAGAAATTTAGCTAGTTGTACATTGAAATAGAAGTCACAGAAAAGTCCATATTTAGGTCAAACAATTATTCATATTTAGGTGCTATGCCCCACAATAGGTCAGCTTTCATTGCACCTTTTTTATCTGTCCTTAATTTTTTTCTCCCCATTTATTGTTTTGTTGATGGCATTGGCTTATTAAACTTTCTTTTAATGGTAATGTACTAACTTTAGCAAAAGTAGAGCATTTCTTTTTAGCTTTCTTGTTACAGTTATATTTCCAATTAAAGTCTGCATAATTTATAATCATAATCTTTTAGAAGATGGTGTATATACCATTGTCTGGAATCTACAAATTTTTTATTATTTGGAATCTACAAAATTTTTATTATCTAGAATCAACGAGTTTTGTATTATCTGAAATATTCAAATTTTTTATTGTTTGGAATCTACAAATTTTCTTCATTCATGATGAAAATTTACTTTTTCAATTTTTCATTCAAAAGTGTTTTGAAGTGTCTGAAAAAACTTCAAAAACTCATTTTTACATAATTTTTCAAGTTATTATTAATTGGTCTTAAAATAATTTATTAACAATGTGACCAAGTTATAACAACGTGACCACACTAAAACAATGTGACTACAAAAGTTAATTAAACAAAATCAATTCTGTTATCATTTAAAAAAATTTTTAAAGTAATAATTAATTTAAATATTATGTAATAGGTAATTTAAATTTTTTTGCATGTAAGTACTTGTGTAGTTGCTGCCCATATCATTTTAAACTTTATTGATTCTTCACTGATTTTAACTAAAGTTGTCAGTCCCTTTTTCTGCACAGTCACAAGGGAATCTCCAAGAACATCTTCTTGACATATAATACATAACATCCATTCTTCATTTT